GGGGGGGGGGTCGGTCGCCCTGCCCCTCTGGATCTGCCACTGCCTGAAGTGTTGGTAAAAAACCACTCTTCAACATTCACAGAAAGTATTTAGTCATTTTGTGAACCCATTTGGTTAGCAAGATGCAAATTTAGGGAAGTTCTAGTAATACAGCTGTGATGGAACACAAACCTGTAAGAAAAACCAGGATTTTGTTATCAAAAGTCCAACCCTTTAGTTGATAACACTAAGTTGTATGTAGTTGTTCTTCATGATAAACAGTAAAATTATAGTTCAACAATTTATTTTAAAATTATTTCCTAACTTGTTGACTTGTCAACAGGTGAAAATTGAGAAATTGGCACACATCAACGGTGTAATGCTGAAACACATGAGTGCGGAAGAGTTTTGCCAAAACTTCCCTGACCATGGTAAGGAGCTGTACATGAGGCTGCAGAGGTTCAAGTCACCCTACGTTTACAACAGTATGTTCAGCGTAGACCAGTGGAACAACCCGAGACATGAGGACGAGTACAGCAGGTATCGCATGGAACAGTCTCAGTCTCGTACAGACAACCACATGGACACCAGCAGTCCACCACATGAGAGTCACACACTCACAGACCTGGACGAGTCCCACTTGCACACTCCTGCGTTTAAATCATCTACAGCCACCGCTCCTCCGTACTCCTCACCATCAGGTAAACAATCATGGTCAAGATAAATATTTATAAAAATTATTGTGGATATTTTCCAGTACAGCTAAAGCTGGAAAAACACAACAAAAACCACCAACAGAACAATATATTAGTCAAACACAAGTAGAATAATCAAAAAAAACAAAAGCTCATAAATAAAAACCCTGTTAATAATTTTTGTCTGGCAAATGCCGATCGTTGTTTCTCGATCGAGGACGTGGGGTAGGTATCAAGATCCTGAAATCTCTTGAAAACTCCATTATAGCGATGATATGTAGTTTGATCTGAAAGCTAATGCTAACCTTGTGTTGCAGAGGTTGATAGTGGTTACAAGTCAGATTCCAGTGAAGAGACGACAGTCAATGAGCCTCCCCCTCCCCCTGAGAAGAGAAGACCAGGCAGACCTCGCGGCACACGGAGGAAGAAGAAACCAGGTACTAAATCCTTAACATTCAAGGAAGTTACAGTAGTGGCTCTACAAACAATCACAACCTTAGGGACAGTTGCGGGGGATTTTCAATTTAAAAGGTTCCCCTTTTACTTGTTACAATTAATTGCAAAATAATTTGTAAATTAATTTAAAACTGCAAAATATGTGAAATTTCTGTTTGGGGAATAAATAAAATTTCTTAGAAAAATCTATCAGGTAGCAAAATATTCTGTGAATTTCATAAATTTAACATTTTTTTTACTTTCCATATACAAAAGTCCTGCTATCACTGAAATTCATGTAGGTTTTGGCCTTTGCATCACGTTTCCCTGCCACTCTGTCGTCCTCTTCAAGTTAACTGCTCAAAGATTCCTCATGTATGTCTAATACTTGATCATTCCATTAAACCAAAGATTGAACATAAAAACTTTGCTAAAGTCATTGGTAAAGCTGTATAGAATAAAATATATCAAAATAAAGTGAGATCATACTAAATTCTGTGTATTGATTACAGAAAAGCTTGGACGACTGTGGGAGTTTATCAGAGACCTGTTACTCAACCCATTGTACAACCCTAGCCTCATATGTTGGGAGAACTACGACGAGGGAACGTTCAGGTTCGTCCACAGTGACCGTGTAGCCAAACTGTGGGGCAGCAAGAAAGACAACATCGACATGAACTACGAGAAACTCAGCCGTGCCATGAGGTAAGCATTCACTGTCGTTATTGTTGATACCACTTTGGGAGAAAAATATAAGTTAACCTTTCCAGTAACAAATATACCTGCTAGTATTTTGGTGTTGAAGGATATATCTGCATAATGTTGGAACCAATGAGAATTTAAAATGTTAGCCAGTTCCAAAGACATACTAGCAAGTGTACGATAACCAGCTGGTTTGCACCAATATGGCACGACATTCAGGCACTCTGTAGGAATGCTGTAAACTTTTATGGAGCAATCCACCCTTCTCGCGGATACAGATAAATTTTGTATGTGGACATCTTTCTAAAGCATAAATCTTGTTCAAATTTACCTAATCTTTTTCAAATACAATTTTGTCCAATAAATAAGATCAACACTTTATTACTAACCTGTTGGTATTTTTTTGTTGCATTGATGTTATTGTTGATCTTGTACAGGAAGATTTCCTTTACAAAGATTTTAAAATTCATAAAGGATGAAAAGAGAATGAATAATTGTAGTGACTACCTATTGAACACCATTAAAAGTGATTTTGACAACTATTTAACATTGTGGAAATTTTCTTTGGTCACTTTTGAAATAAAGTAAGATTGTTGTAAAAATAACGTTCGTAATGCAAATAACTGCTGTTTCCACAATCTAAAACGAGAAGGCGAGTCACATAGCAAGTATTTGGCTGGTTTTGGAAGGTAAACACTATGTGCAAACAGGCTGAGATGAAGTAAACAGGCTAATAATAGATGTTATTGTTTGCTAAACTGACTCTGCTGGTACACTGATACTCTTAATTCTTACAAGGGATCCTGTGTTAGTTAATTTCTATTATATTTTCTAGTTTGGTAGAAACATGTAGGTCCATCTATTTCTATCCAACATGGATGGATATTGTTTTTTTTTTGTCACACTTAAGATGGACTGTAGTAGCCTGAAGCTAGTAATTTACAGTTCAACTAGCATAAGATCACTTGACAGTAATTTAATCCATTATAGCTTAAGCTCCGTGATTCAGAAGCTATTTCACCATAAGAAAATAAAGTACATTGATTGACAATTACTGTTGCCTAGGAAGAAATTAATGTGATTCAATATACATTGGAGCTCGATAACACGAGCCTAGATAACATGTCACCCTTGATAACAAGTGTCATTTCCAAATCCCTTTGAATATAATAACAATATGTTAGTGCAAACCTCTAGGAAGTCGACCTTGATAACAAGTCTTGGCATCAATGGCATTACAAAGAGTGATTTCTTATTATTTTTAGTTATAGCCTTTATTGTGATTTACAGATACTACTACAAGAGCCAAGTTTTACTCCCAGTATATGGCAAGCGGCTTGTATACAAGTTTGGTCCCACAGCTACAGGCTGGCGGTCAGAACGGCCCATCTTCCGTCAGGGGTAAACCTCACCTACCTCTCAGACAAACAGGGTACTGCGCACCTCGACCATTCCTAGTCCTATTGTTATGTTTTGTAGACTTAAGTTAAAGCCAGATGCTAAGACGTTTTTACACATGTGATTCTTCCTTAACCGTAAAACATAGCGATTGTAATCTCTTTTGTTTAAAATGTTGGCCATGAATTGGTTTCTCAATACAATTTACATAAAGTAACGTTTTGAATTTATGAAAAAAAATGATTAACAAGAAACATAGATCTCAAGGACAGGGTTATAAATTTTAAACTGTGAGTGTTAAATATTCTGATTAGAAGTTGTTTTATCATTCCTTTTGTTTGTAAAAGTTTTTGATCAAACCTTTTAATGTTTTAATGTTCATGGTTTAAAGTTCCTTCAACACATGACCGCCAAATTAAAGAATTTTTCTTAATCCCAAGTTTTGACATTAGATTTTAAAATATTCTTAGATTTAGTAATTTAAGAACAAATTTTTTGAAAATAAGTGATTTTAATTGAATTTTTTAACTCTTGGGGCCTACTTAGCTTATAAAATGATGCTCATGAATTTTATTGATAGAAGTATCAAGCTCAATGCTATTTGTAAAATATTTAAATAAAATGCATTCTATTTTGTAATATCAAATACATTAAAATGAATGGAGAATATATTCTAATTTGTCTAATTGGAGTAATTTTATTTTTAAGAAATACATGTTTTAAACGTAATTCTCTTTTGATGGTTAGATGTGTACAACTTTTTTCTGTGATAATAAAAGTTTGTTGTATATAGATGTTAACATTCTACCACAAAATACCTATGTATATAAACCATTGTTATCTTTATTTAGTAAGCCATTTGTTCCCAAAGGCAAATAGTTGATAGTTATCTTGAAGCAATTTTATGAATTTTGCAACAATTTGTATGAACCAAGTATTCTTAGAATATTTTTATATTTCTGAGTGTTGTTGTTTTAGCTTGCAAACGAAGCTAACTTATTCAATATTATTTCACGTTATATTTATTGTTAATTTTTTATGTTGAAATAAACTGTACATCACAGTAATGTATCTTCTTCATTTATTTCTTACATGTATATAGACCTAAGGCCAATAGTGAGATTTTTCAGACTCGAGAAAGTGTTTCAAGTTCGAAACATAGTCGAGAAAAGGTCAAGAGCTTACAAAATATTTTTGCCAAAGGGGCAAAAACCCTTATTATTATAAAAAAGATAATAATAGATCAAGATAATAATAAAATAGAACACTGTAGTACTACAAAAATAGTTTGATTTAGTTTGCAAAGAAAAATCTACATTAAATTGTAAAATCAATAACAAGGATAGCTAAAGAACACGAATCTGTCCAATGCAAATATTTAATTCCAAGGAGGTTTTTTTTTTTCCATCAATAGTCAATCTTGGGTAAACAAAACTGTCTTACATACAACAGACCACTACATAAGTGTTGAGTACTATGTAAGACCAATTGATATAGTTTTTACTGAGATTTGATATTTTGCTGGTATAAAAAACAACAAATATGTCTTTGGTGACTTTAAATTCAGTTAAAAATAGGCCCAGTAAGTTTAAGAAAATTGTGAAATAGTTTTAAAGTAAGCCCAAAGCTGTAAGTAATAGTTTGGGATCAACAGTTAGACTTTGAGGGCAAACAACTGTTGTTTGCTTTTTTTCTTCCCATTAATATTAGTTGGACAATTATTGCCGGTACCAAGTCCTACATCAGTGTAATGGTAGTAAACGGGTGATAATAATGAAAACAAAACAATAATTATCAAAATAATATATATGTCGTTTAATATAAATCAGCATCCAGTTATAATAGCAGCTTATATTAATACAATAACAATTATTAACTATAGTATCACATTGTTTTTTAAACACTTAAGTAAAAAATTACTATAAACTGACATCAACCATTGAATATAATGCTTTAAAAATTGTATTTTTTATCACTCAGGAGACTAAAAGAAAACTCTGTTTTAAGGTGGTATTGGTAACTTATTTGACACTAATACATTTTTTTAAAGGGAATCTTAATGTAAACATACATTTAAAGTTGTTTTTATAGGCAATACTCACTAAATATAAACAACAAACAATGGTATTTTCAACCAACGCATTAATTATTAAGCTATGGGTCGACCTGCCTATTTCTTAATGATTAATTTCATTTTTTTTTGTTCTCATCTAAAAATGACTACATACAACTTTGGTTTGAAGCTGTGAATGTGAGTAAAGAAGGGATTTGCTATTGCCATATTTAGTAATCTGGGCCGAACCACAATAAAGGGTCTTCTTTTTTTTTAAGAGGTTGGCAGCCTCTTTTAACCTTGCATTTGCCCGTTCACATAGACTATCTGCCCGTGCGTGGAACGTATTTAGCAAAGCGAGTGGTGAGCCGGTACAGTACAAAGGTGAACTGTACTGATAAATTTTATCGGCAGTGACTAGGATCCAAACCCACGACATCGCTGCCTTGGGCCCGAAGTCCGTGACGCTACCAACTGAGCCACCAAATCACATTTTATATGTTCAGAATAACTAAATATTTGATTACCGTTTTTATATTCGCGAGACCATTGACTATTGGATACTGAAGTAAACGTCCCATCTATATAGACCAGCCGAAGCCAAATTTTTGTTAAAAAAGAACGTAGTTGTGTGAGCCAGTCACAGAATGCGCTAGTGACTCAATTTATATTTTCTACCTTATTTTTTGTTGCTGACCAAGTTTATGGGTTATAACAGTTGCTATAACCTATCATAAGTCATCCCGTTAGTTTGAATTGGTAAAAAAGATTGTGTATTCATTCGACATAAATCAGTAATTTAGATCAGCGCAATCTGTCGGTGGCTCACATAAACTATGGCGGCTTCAGTTGGAAATATTTAACATGAGGATGGAATGTCTAGTTGTATTAATAGTCAAAGGTACATTTAGACTGTTAAAGAGGCCCAATAAAGAAGATAAGCAAATGAACCAAGAGGAATCACTGTTTTACAATTATTCAGAGTTTGTTTGCATAAGCCTTCCTTCCATGGTAAAACATCTATTTTGTTATACACTGACAATTCATGTTTTATACAATCATTAAAAAGGATCAATATTTTTAAAATAACCAATACCTAAGACCCAACTTAAGTACAGGAATCGTCCCTGAAAGGTGCAAGAAGTTTTCACTGCAAGTGATTTTTGTCTTATAGTACCTAATTAATTAACATAAAACTATACAACCTAATGTTAAGCAAAAGCTTGGCTTATTGATTCGGGTGTCTTCGATACATCTCATATTAGAACAAATAATTAATTCAGTTCTTTTATACAAATAAATACTGATAAAACTTTGCTTGAGTTGAAAACACAGGGAATTTGGTATAATAAGTATGGTAAAACTATCTCCACTTGTGTGCAAGTTATTAAATAACAGACAAGTTAATTTTCAAAATTTGAAATTATAATTTAATATATAAATTGTAAATTTTATAATTTTGTAAATTGAAAGCCGTTAAACATTCTAACTTTGACAGTCTAATTATGATACAAAATCCTATTTAGACCTTTAGAATTATTTATACGCAGTTCAAATTTACAACGATTACTAGCAAACTGATTTAAAGTTATAATTGAATAATAATTTTCAACGGTGGAACTTACAAAAAGGGTTAGTTTATTCACACTTTTTACAAGTAGCAGTAATAAAATTTTCACAAGACTTAGTATTAAAAAGGTTTGCACTTATTTAGGCAACTTTACAATGGAACTTTACCATACCTTTGCTCATCATTCGTTAATCCAAAGCTTTATTACAGGTAATGTACAGAATAGACATTGTCGTGATCATTTACTCACGACGCAGGTTGTCAAGACGAGCTTGTAGGTCGGCGTCTGCATCGGAGACTGGTGCGGCCCCGCCACCCCCTCCTGCTGTGGCTGCCACAGCGGTCTATAACACAATAACCGCAATCAACAGCTGCTTTTATACTACAAATCATTCAAACAATACAACAGTACATTTAAGTACTGTAACTCGGAAATTGATAACCTGGGAGTCTAAATTTCTCAACGAAGAACAAACTCATAACAAATTATTTCTCAAAAGTTCATATATCCCTACGATGATGCAGGGTGTCCATGTCCAGCATTTCATAAAATAAAATTCAACTTAAGGTTTTTTAGGTTTTCCAGGATGCTAAAATAAAGTCATTTCACTTATTTGTAGCTATGATGATTCAAATTATATCCATGTTAATTTTATGAGGTCATCATCGCATCCGTGATTATTTCCCATGGTTGCAGAAATGTCCTTAATAATGTATCACGACCGAGAGAACATCAAAAATCGTAGCACAACCATAATGAATTCCCTCGATCAGGGATTTCATCAATGATTTCTCAATATAAATAGGTTACATACCTTACGTCGTCAATCCTAAAATAAGTCTATGGCGACTAGTTTCGAAACATCAAGGTTTCATTGTCGAGCCTCTTGCTTTTTAAAAACATTGTGACATCTTGTCGTCGTCATTATACACAGTACATTTAACATAAACACACGAACACGGACATACTATTTACAAAAATGGGTGCGCGGCCGGCCATAAGTACCGCGGTGACGGACACGATGCAACTAACCGACTCCTGTCTGTTGACATTGACCTTGGAGGGGGTGAAACAGCTGATTGTGAGCGCTTCCGTTATCAATGTCCTCAATCCTATCAAATATTATATTACGGCCAAAATTGAGTTTTTCATTTAAAATGTCGTGAGGATGTTTTTTGATTTCTCAATACCACTGCAACATCTGGGATATTTCTCAAGATCAAAATTTGTGATCATCACCTGCGACCATATTGACAATTGCTACCATCTTCCAAGGTCATAGCAATAACTCTGATAATCTTCTGCTATATCGACACAATCATAATGATTTAGTGTAACTGTAGCAACTTCTATGATAATTTCTAACGATTGCAGCGATTACCACTAGCACGGTAGCATTATTATGATAATTTTCCACGGTTAAAGTTTTTACTTGGCAAGACGACACAAAGAAAATATATACCGTGATAATTGGTAGATATTTTTGGAGTTAAACACAAATTTTGCATTTTCTGGTCCCATAATGAACAAAACTTAGACAGTTCATGGATTTTTCCTGGGCATCAAAATTTATGTTCAGCTGGATACCACCCTGGTGGAGAGCTACAGAGATTGTTGGCTTCAAAATTATAGAGTTTTGAAATAGTGAGGAAAAATGTGATTTGGATTCCACTATAAGCTGCAGGCCCCTTAGGTGCCATTGGCTTTATTGGCTATTAATGAACAGCTGTGTCTAAGGAACATGTCTGCCTTAGTCACCAACAAGACTACAAGATCGTGCCACTCATCCTTTACTCATATTTGGGTTAAAATATGCACATAGTGGTGTCCGAGTCTTAAATAATTTATATAATTGAATTGATAATTGATAGAGTTCATCACCTTTGCCATTTAGAACGGTGCCAAAGCAAACATTACGAACACACCTGACGACTAGATTGCTGACCAATCAATCAACCAGTTAGCACAATGAAAACCACGATATTTTGGAAATTTTCGTAAAATTTTTTGTTGATGTTCTGAGGCAACCTATGGGTGAATTAGGGATAATCTCTCTTTTGGAACAATCATTTGTGACACTGTTCTCCAGGTATCTGACCCACCATATTGTGTAGTTGTGTAAAAACAGGTTAAGGTTCCTAGAACTTCTGTTAAGAGAATGTTTAAAACAGAAAATATAATGACAGTTTTCGGTATGTATGTTTTTGAAACAGTGGTATCTGTTAAAAACAGATTTCATGAAATAGAGCTGGTTGGAAGGAAACATGATTATCTTACAAGAAATCGAGGCAAGTTAGCATTAAGTCCTCATAAATTGCGCCTTTTCGAAAAAAAACCCAAATACGCCGGAACAAAATTCTATAATAAACTTCCAAAGGACATACAAGCAGAAGTAAATATAAAAAAATTTAAAAATAAACTTAAGAAATTTCTCATTAGCAGGGCTATTTATTCATTTGATGAACTGTAATTGACTTTTCTTTCCCTACTAATCAAAGTACCTATGTTTTAACTGTTAGTTTTATGTTCTTTTACAATTATTCCCATTTACTATAAGCATGTATGTTTTATTATAACTTATAAGAAATGTGACACTATTCATGTATATATTTCTAATGTACTTGATGAATAAAGATAATTTGAATTGAATTGAATTGAATTAAGGTGGACCACCGGACCAAGATCGAAGTCGGAGACGAACTACGGAAGAAGCAGGATGACGGGCTAAGATACGCGGGACATGGGATGAGGCCCTGATAAGGTATGGTGGTTAAATTATAAGTTACCTATTCTAAATTTTCACATTATTTGTTTCAGGCTCAATGATTTATGATGTCCATTTTAACTTAAGTGTAAGCATTTAGATATCAATATTGCTTTAATTAATCCTTCTTGTTGTGTCCGGTCAACTTTGGTCTGTTAATTAATATATTGATTGAAAGTTAATAATTCCACAGCAATATTTAATAATTTAGTTAATGTTAGCATAAATCAAAGTTTGCTTCTTGGGCCTGTGATTCCCGGTAAGCTGTGTCCTCTCATAAATTTAACGTTCAATGCCCGTTTCCAACATAAAAATGGTTATGTAATTGCATCTATCAAACGGCCAGACGGCCACATTTCTTCATGGTCACAAGAGTTCATATATAATTCAAGCTTTTCAAGGTTTTCATGGCTAGTGGCAACCCTAGTGTTGGAATATATCTTCTACAATAATAAAACAGTTGGCGCTGATAGCCAGGCAAAACCAATACAACCTCTTTTGCTAGCCGGCTACCCGGGCTTTGTAAATCATGGTGGCACCCGGGATTAGTGAACCCATGACGTAATTGTAGATAGTTTGTAGATAGTTTATTGAATTGGAAGAATCACATTCATAACACCTCTAAAAAGTTAAATTCAGTATGTTTTCAAATGTTGGTCTTAAGAAATGTTGTTGATTTAAACACTAGACTAATGATTTATCACGCTTTATTTTCGTCAATTTTACAGTATGGAATAGAGCTTTGGGGCGTCACATCTGATTCGTATCAACTTTTTAAACTTCAAAAAAGAATACTTAGAATTATGACTTTTAAACCTGTAAAACATTCTTGCAAACAACTTTTTAAAGAACTAAAGATTCTAACCGTCCCTAATTTGTATATTCTTAAATGTTTATTGTATGTGAAAACAAATTTTGAAAAACTCCACAGTGAAAATAATCGACACAATTATAACACTAGATTTCATACAGATTTTCAATATCCTATACACAGATTAAATCTTGTGGAAAGGACACCTTCTTATATGGGTAAAAGATTTTTTAACAATTTGCCTGGGTACTACAAATCTATAATAGGATTAGTATCTTTTAAAGAAAAAATTTTTGAATTTTTATTGGAAAAGAATTATTATAGTATTGGTCAGTTTCTTGAAGATAAATCAATGTGAATTGTTTGTTTTGTTACCTACTATGTATTTATTTTTACCAATATAAGCTAGTTTATTTTAGTACTAGTTAACGGCCCGTGCTCCGCCACGGGAATATTGTCAGCAATAAAAGAAATAATAATTAACAAATACTGTTTATCTTTGTATTTTATTTAGGAGTTATTTAATTTTTTACATGAAGTAGAACTGATAGTTTGCCTGTATAAACTATTTTATGTTAATCAAACCGATATATTATTTTAACCAAATTAATGTTTTATATTAATTCGAGTTTCATTTGAAAAATAAATAATATACGAACTGGGCAATGCTGATTGATAACCTAATAAGCAGCTATTTATGCTATTTAGATAATTTGCTCAAGTATATTCCTATATTCGTAGTTTTTTTCATTACATTTGTTGTATGGAATAAAGATAGTCACTTAGCCTACATGTAAATCACGCATCAGCAGTTGGTCGCATTTCACGAATCATTGACCCATTCTGTGAGTAAAAGCTGTGTTTACGTCGTATATATAAAGTTGGGCATACTTGTTCAATGTTGAGTCGTGGATTTTAAAACTATGTAGACTACCACTACCAGGAAGATGTTGATTCAAGTGAGACTTAGAACTGGCCATTTCAAATGCAGATTTGTATTATATTTTACTCAAATAGTTTTTGTCTCTTTTGACCCTTAATACTTTTTTTATAGTCGCTGTTGATAAGATTTTCCATAAACTCAAAATGTTGATAAGGAGTTCATTTTACCTTCCCCTTGTGACAACATAAGGAAAAAATATTTGTGTCCCAGTTAGTCTGTTCTGACTCAAAATTCATAGATTTGCAGTACTGACAAATCCAATCTAACGACCCCAATTCCAAAAAATTTGTATTTTTTAGAAGGGACTTCCAGAGCACATTTAACATCATCACTGCTCTTTACCTTTTTAGTTCGATGGTTCTCTACATGTTTTTTTTCGTTCTGTATGTCTCTTTACGCCCGGTTAATGATTACCTTTTCTTTTTCTTTTTGTAATTCTCACATCCTGGAGTTAATGATAAAGTTTTATAACGCTATAATGACCCGAGTCAACATTGCCATTAAACATCAATTCAGATACTTCTTCGCCAGAACCGAAATCGTAAGTCACAGTTTCTCAAGCAACTTCCCTGTGTAGGCCTACTCGAAAAAATATAGTTAGGGTATAGTTCACTGATAAATTGTAGTTCCAAATATCCCAGCGTACTCGCCATCTCGAGAAGGTAAAATTTGGACGTCGAACACTGATCTTGAGTAAGATTAATCACTTATGATAAAATGTTTGTATGTTTACTGGTACCAATCATTAGCAATTATCTGTACAACTTGCAAGCGGATTTCTCTGTGATTGTTCTGGTGGCTATAGAGAATAAATTATATTGATCA